TTCCCTAACTAGGTTAGCAGAACTTAATCAGAATTTCTGTTAGTGTTAGATCATTTCCTCATGCATTGCATTATTTTCACTTGTTTTGTTCCACTTAAATGTGGGGTTTTTTTGATGGAACTAGAGAAATACACAGCTCAAGACAACTGTAAAGAGGTCTTTGGAGATACATTTCCTCCGCACAAAATATGTACAATGCATATAAGGATAAATACACAGAAGAATCTCATAGATATTTTTTGAAAGAGCTTTTTAAACAATGGTGTTATAATTTGAGAATTTGAATGCTGTATTGTGTGGAAAAGAAATAGTATAAAAGAAGTTTGACTTAAATTATTTCACAGTGGGAAAAGTAGTACCATAATATTTGCAGGCAAAACACTCTTTGTTTTTTGGGGGGGGGGGGGGGGTGTAGTATGACAACCTATAGATCCCCAAATTAGGGATAATATATCACATAAACATGACAATCTTTTTATGGATAATGTTCAGTCTCTGTATAAATCACAACCTCCCTCCGATTCATATCACACATTCTCTAAACAGCAGTGTTTTTCTTTGTCTTGCAGGGGATTTAGGTTAGCATACATGCAGTAAATACAAGCTAAAGCAATACTGAACACGTGAAAAATTTAGATGAAATAACAACTGAAATAATTTCAGCTTCTAGGTAGAGAAAAAGGATGTTAGGATTGTTGATAAAAACTGTCATAGACAGTGGCCTCTGCAAGCTTTTGGGAACAAAAGCTGGTTAGTGTATCCTAATCTGGTTTAATAGTTTCCAAAATGTTGTCTAATCCAAATAGATAAATTTTCAGTAATATATCAGCCCAAATAAAACTGACTTGCAATACACAGTGACATATATGGCAATTAGGTGTGCTCTCAACTTTTCAGTGATGCTTTATGAAATACAATTGAAGTTTCTTTTTTTTTCCAGAGATTAGAAAAATAATTAATAAACCCAAGTATTTCTTCAGGTTTTGGAAGAATGAAAGCTGCAATGTAGAATAAGAAGATAGCAAAACTTAAAGCAGCCTTTTTAGATTCTTTTCTTTTTTATGTTCTGTCATATTTGCTCATATTTTATTATTTTGTTTTTCAACTTGATAAAAGATAAGTGACCAAAAATAGTCTGAATTTTCCATTTTGACTGCAAATTGGAAAATCACAGAGTGCTTAAATTTCACCATTTTTAGACTTATGTCAGAGGCCAGGTGCAGATCAAAATCCAAATCCAAATATCTTGAAAATTCAGGTTATCCAAATTCAGACTTTTCAAGCAGACATGTCTTTTCCATAACTTTCTGAACACAAACAGTATCATTGGAACTGTGAGCACAGTAATATAAGTTAAAATCTGTCTATCTGGCTGTGGATTTGCTAAATCAGTTACTCTTTACACCACCATTTCAAGCAGTATTTTCTAATTAACATGAGAGCTAAAAGAAATTTTAATGCAGATCAACAACACTGGGTAAAGCTGGACTGCAATTATACTGCCCTCAAAGACAGTAAGCCAGAAGAACAAGCTGTAGTATTATGTATGCATCAATTATTTCTACATTATTAGTTAAACTCTACTTGATGTGTGGGTCAGGCATTCTCACAGTTTCACCTATCAGCTGCTGGGATCCAGTTTAATTCTTCCTGTGAGATGTAAATCCCCATTTGTTGTCTTTTCTTTCCTGATACTGACATACATATAAGAGAGCAAATGTCCATGAAATACTTAGCTTTCTCCTGTAAATAAATGCTGTGTTGCCAATGGCATGTGATCGTGAGATAGGTTTCTGTGCAGCAGCATGGGAGAGTAGTGCATGTCATTAAAGTGTTTGAAACTGTGTTTCATTCAAATGTATCATTTACTTAAATGTTAGGAATACAGAGAAAAAGTGATAAATAATTGTGACCTTAGTGTTTAAAATAATGAAAACATCTCTGTCACAAATGCTGAACCATGTTTTATGGCTCATAGTGTATGGACCAAAGAGCTAAACATCAATTTTGTTCTGTTAATGAAATTAGTTTTAGACCATCTCAGTATAAAATAAAACTATAAGAAGTTATAAATTCTTGTTCAACCCTAACTGATCAAAAAAGTAACTACTCACTGCACACCTGAATAGCTATAATCCCTTGATTTCACTAAGATATTGCTCAGACAAAATTTGTGTATAGATACATGGGATTTTGGGACACAAGCAGAGAAAAGCAAAGGCTGCTTGAATAATTTTGCTCATATATTTTTCACATCTGGATGAAATACTGAATTGTAAACTAAGCAGCTGCCTGAGGCACTACAATTTTACCATCCCTGATTTGTAAGAGTACCTTACATGGTTTACCACCCTGAGTCTCAAGGAGTTTGCATCTGCCGGAATTGAAGTTTAGCAAGTTGGCATTCCTTGTGCTTTCTAAGGTTTGTGGTGTCTCTAGCCTCCTGTATTCTGAGCCTTAATACCTGTCAGAGCCTCTGAAAACTGTCTTCTTACACTTATGTGTACAAGAAGTAGTGTATTCTCATACAAATAACAGAAGTAATGTGCTTGAGTTTCCTTTAACCAGCAAGCCACTTATCACAAGAGAAGACTAATACCTGAGTGCATTGCTGGTCTTGTGCTGACCAGTACAGGACAAGTACAACCAGTCACACAAAAGTCCATCCTAGAGTCTCTGTGTGTACTACATTATGCCACAATATCCCTACATATATGTGGGGACCATATATTCATGTTGTTCTAAATATGAGTTGATTTTGTTGCTCTACTGATTTCTAAAATCGTAGAGATGTTGAAACCTTGGAAGTTACATTTTTCACAAATTTGAACTGATATTTTCCATCTTTAAGTGTCTGGTCTGCCGTTTCACAACATTCAGCTTTGCTTTATAATGTTAGATTTAAAATAGTCTTCTAGTCAGACCCAGTTGAAACCATATGAAATCATAATTTGGCAGTATTTCCATGTAAAATAAGTAATAGTTCATGCAATACCTTAATTTTATTTGGGACATTCATGAATTCTAAGATTTATTGGAGGACATTTGAAGTTTTATATCCATAAAGATAAGTGAAACCAAGTATGGTTGATATTTTAATATGTCTCACACAGGTTTTAAATAGACAGATTCTTCCTCGCTGGCCTACCAATTGCTACCATCCTTATTCCTTTGAATTGCATAATTCAGTTACGTGTATCTCTTCTATACTGCTGGGATATATATATCCACACTCAAGAAGTAATTTTTCTTTCCACAGATA